GCGGGGAGGGGGGGGGGGGTGTGGGGGGTGGGGGGAGCGTACCCGGTCGTGACTTCCACCTTCCCCTCCAAGCTCCCCCTTTAATTGTTGGGGGAAGCTGGCAGGGAAGGTTGCAAGTCACGACGGGTAAGTCTCCCCCAACCACACACCCTCCCCCAGCCCTTCTGCATTTTTGCCATGCTGGCCACACACACACACCTGTGCACTCCCTCTGACTCTCTCCATGCCCCCCCTTGCATACTCCTCAACTCTCGCACACCCTCCCCAACCCACGCTGCACCTTTCACACACCTCCTCACGCACCCCTGCACCTGTACTGGCCTCTCACGTACCCCACGCACCCTCTCCAACTCTCCCACACACCCCCTCACTCCCTCCCCCACCCAACAGCAGCCATTTACCTGCCTGCCGGCCTGGGACTTGCAACTTCCTGCCAGCTTCCCCATTGACTTTGGTGGTGGGAAGCCGGCAGGAAGTTGCCTGACCTAAGGACCATGGGATTTGGTTAATGATGGCAACTAGGACTGCAGGGATTGCTGTCATTAAGCAATGTGGTCACGGTTTACAACTTCATCACTTAGCAACAGAAATTCCAGTCCCAATTGTCGTAAGTTGAGGACTACCTGTATACAAGAGTTTATTCTTTTAAATGGCAAAGGACATCATCTTTTCCTCTCATCCCCTTCTTCTCCTTCCCACCATTGAAGGACAGGGTCAGCGTTCCCAGGGCTAGATAAAAGGTATGCGCTGAAGAAATGTAGATGATAGCATCCTGAGTAAATCTTAATGAACTCAGAAGTTAATGTGAACCAAGGGTGCTCTTTAGATAGCCTGGCTCTGTTTTAAAATGTAGAAACAACCTCCTAAATATTTTATTTTAAAATGTAGAAACAGCCTCCTCAAATCTTTTGCCCTTAGTTGTTAAGGATACTTTACTGTTAAAGATACTGTTTTTACAGAGTCATGTAAAAGTGAGATGGGTGACTATATGAATGAATGAATGAATGAATGAATGAATGAATGAATGAATGAATGAATGAAAGAGAAAGAAAGAAAGAAAGAGAAAGAAAGAAAGAAAGAAAGAAAGAAAGAAAGAAAGAAAGAAAGAAAGAAAGAAAGAAAGAAAAAGATTCCCAGCCAGCATTCTGATTGCTTCTCTGTAGTTTTAACAATGTGAGAAGAATACCTGCTTGGGGCTAGCCACATGCTTGATGCTGCTTTCTTTATATGGAAAACTTTGGGCAGGATAACACCTACATAATAACACCAAAGACACTCCCCTGGATACAGGGTATATAATTTGGGTGATCCAAAGTTAATTATAGATATGGATATTTGGACTAAGTACTTTTATGGCATGCAATATATGACAGTGAAATATTTTAGGATATTTTTATTCATTTTTTGTTTTCAGATTTGTTGTCATCACCATCTTGGTGTCATATTGAAAATAAATTATATTAAACTGAAAGTAGTTAAATTATGTTGTACTATAATTAATTTACACCAGGAATATGCAACTTCATCAGTTTTAAGGGCTACATTAGCATTTGGGCTATGCTCCAAAAGAGAGTGGGCCCAGGCCACACCTATTGGAGGAGGTTGGGAAGGGGTTAAGGGATTAAATTAGTGCATTTGACCTTTCTCTTCCATAATGAAAGGGGGGGCTTAAAATTTTGGCCTCACCCATTCTGGGAGAGATTGATCTTGGGATAACAAAAAGAAGATAATGGACCATAATTTTTATATCCCCAGTTTCTACGCTAGTAAAGTGAAACCTTGATTTAAGGATCATTCAAGAAGGATGTCCATTAAATCTGAGTATGTGTTAAATCCAGATGTAGGTCATTTGCATCAGTTTATGCCATTTGCTTAATTATGCAATTGATGTAAATGTCATCATTTGCCATTAAATTTTAATTCAGTAGACAAACCTTAATGTTCTGACTCTAACATTAGTCCATGAAATGGGTGAAGTTTATTGATGAAATTTGTATGAAAAAATTGTCCATTGTATCTGAAGTCTTTTAAATCAAGAACTTAGTGTACATGCATCTGTATAGACTTGTTCATCTCTAGGTAGAAATAATTTCTGATACCAGAATATTTGTAATCCACTGACTAATGGATATTGTAATTTCCTAAAGACATATTAAAAGTCTTTGTGGAATGGAAGGAATTTTTTGGTACCATCTTAACTTTCTCAATGCAAAATAGGATCTGCATACATTCTGAGAAAAGTAAAAGGATATGGAAGATCTCACATAATGGTCTCTGTTTCCTTTTAAGCATGTATAACACATATTAAGAGGAAATATTTAAAAATATTAATGAGAAAGCCATTCTGTTTGACAAAAGTTTTTAATAGTGATGATATCCAGGTGAAAATTTATAGCAGTGGCTCTTTCTGCCCAGAGAAAAAATTACAGATAGTCCTCACTTAGCAACCACAATTCGGCCCGGCAACTCTGTCGCTAAGCGCTGTGGTCGCTAAGCAGAAAATCACGTGATCATGACAGACTTACGGTGTCACTTCACATTCAGTAACTGTGACTTGTGATTTTACTTCCGCCTTCTCTATTAACCCTGCTTGTTGAAAGCTGATTGTGAAGCATGCAAATGGCAGTCATGTGACTGTGGGACGCTGTGACAATCATAAATGCATACCGGTTGCAAAGTGCCCAAATAGCAATCATGTGACCGCTGGACATTGCAATGGTCATAAATGCGAAGATTGGTCGCAAAGCTGATTTTTTTACACTGTTGTAACTTTGAATGGTCGTTAAAAGAGGCGGTAAGTGAGGACTACCTGTAGTCTGCATGGCTTTTTACATTACTCTTTCTATTACCAGAGTTAGCTGATGACTGACACCTAAAGTAGAACTCAGATGGAATTACTGAGCAACATAGGAACCCCAACTGTGCAAACATCCCAATAAGTTATTGTATAACATTCAAACAAAGGGACACTTTCCCAAACAATCCAGTCAGGACTGAGTACCCTCATATTCATGGAAATAGAAGAAAAGTAAGGAGAGATATATTGCTATTATTGCAAGCCCCATTTGTCCTTCTACTAGTAACATTTTCGAGGGCCGAAAAGATTCATTTTTATATAGCTCTTGTTCTGCTCTTCTGATTTCAGTATATTGTAGCTGCCAAAAGGGATTAGTTTAGCTATAATGCTAACAAACTAACAAACTTTATTCTGGTCTTAGGCCAGATTCACTCTCAAATTAATATTTCTCTGATTGCTGAACTATTACATTTTCTGTGAATTTCAGTGTTAAATTTTAAGGATTTTTTGCTGAAAACACTTTTTTTGCTAAGAGTGCATCAATTGCTTCTGTGTTGTTTTCCACCATAATAAAGTTGCTAAGATTACAGTAAGTAGAATAGGCAGTGTATATTTGGTTATTAACAAAAAGGAAAAATTATGCGATTTGTTTTCATCACAATTTAAACTTAAGTAGCATCCGCACAAAAAAATAAGCCTCTGAAAGCATAGCATTCTCCATTAATGAAATTCTACTTTCTTGATAGCAAAATATTAAAGTAAGTTTTTTTTTAAAAATCCTACAGCCTTATATTTTTAACAATAGGTAATTACAATAATCTAGAATTGTCTTTTTTCTTTTTTATTTCAGTAATTGAATATCTGACCATTCCTAGGTATGGACTAGCAAGCCCATTTAAAGGACATTTAAGTACAAAAAGTAATGGTAAGTAATTTATGAGATGCGGTAAATAATCATTTATTTGGAAACCATGCCTTTCCAAATAAATGATTTATTTTTTAGTTAAGCATTAGTTTGACAGAGAGTTTAATAACATCAGTTATGCTTTAACCAAGAAATTAAACCCAAACTTAATAGTGTTGTTTAAGGCAAAGATATTTAGCCATCTTGATCTTCTGTTTTTAACAATAAATAATACAACCTTCACTCTAGAGAAAACTGTTAAAAAAGCATGGCTAAATATTTTTGAAAACCATGTAACTTAAATAATTCAAAAGACGTATATCATAGTGCTTTAGTTAGCTTCTTTTTTCGAGATATTGTGAATTAAAACTACCATATTTATTCTGTGTATATTTAAGTAAATTCTCTCACCATATGGCCCATCAGTGCTTTCTATCTTCATTGGCATGAAATCTGTTGTCAGAACCTTCAAGCTTCAGTCCTGAGGCCTCTTTACCTCAGAGTGATCACATTGACTTCATAATGGGTCTATTCTTGGAGTAGCTGTTTTGAGGATCTCATCCTAGTTTCATATGCAAGGATATGTGCTGCTCCATTGGCTGTTAAGACGTAAACCTTTCCTCTCAGAAGCATTGCTGAAATGGCTCTGTGATTAGCGCACTTCATGTTCATGGCTCAGTAACAGAATAATCTCAGTCTTGTGTGAGTGTTGATTTTAATCTGCTTGTCTATTTAATATATGATGATTTAGTTGTTGGAAGTGCTGTCCTAGCATAAGTTATGAACCCTGATGGTATTAACAAACCGAGAAAGTTGAAAGGATCAGGAAAGCAAGATTGTTGAATAAGCCTGCTGACAGAAGTCCACAGACTTCTTGGAATCTGTGATCCCAGCAAGTACAGCTGAAGCTCACTTGCATCAAAAGCATTAAGGGATCTGAAAGAAATGTCATACTGTTTAAGCTAAATTGGTTCATAGTAAGAAATAGGTGTGGCTAATGAAAGATCATTATGTTTAGAGCCCTGAAGCGTTTTAATTTATTTATGTATACTGTTAATTAAAAAAGCAGGAATAGTAACTTAAACTTTGTAAAATGTAGTGCTTTAACATAGGATTTTCCGTGATCTCTCAGCTTGAAAACCTACACCTGCAAGCAACACTACGGCATCAGGTATTCCCAGACCCATTTCTCAGCTCATTTTAAATAAGACTTACAAAATAAATATTCCTGTTATAAAATAAGCACCTCTTACGTAGAACAAGCACCTCAGAGAATGCTATATAAATCTTGGGAAGGATTCTCTGCCAAGAATTGCATGAACCTGCCTGTTCTCTTAGATGTGAGAGGAAGGAGGGTCTCGTATACAAACTGCCACCTTCTGGATTTGGGTAGGGTTTTTTCTCTGGTTCTATCTAAGCAATCCTTGTTTTGTGGCTCCACCTAACTTTCTGCTTAATAACATTTTGGACCAAATGAAGGTATCTAAATTACATTGGTTTAGTTTAAGTACAGTATGTCTAGTTTCCTTTTGTGTGTCTTCATCTCTTATTTCTGTTTTAGCTACTTTAAAAGTTTTAACTTAAGTCGCCTTGGACAACTCTAGTTTGTGGCAGAAAAACCTGAGTATAAATAATCATTGAAATAATAAGGTCATGTGACTAGGTCATTACTCTGCTTTCTCACAAATGGGCATTGGACACGATCAGCATCATTCTCCCTTTTTCATACAGTTTATGCATTCCAAGGAAAGCAATATACAACATTGTCCAGCTGTACTCTCCTCTTTGTTTCATTTTAATGCCCTCTTCATTCACGTTTTCAGTTTTGCCTTGTATCTGCAACTGTAAATCAAGATTATTAGCATTTTATCCTAATGCTCAAATATGTTTTACTTTTATAGCTTTCTGCATTGACTCCTCCTCTCGCAGACTCAGTAATCAGTACCTCATCAGGGATCACATGGCTGTTCACTACAATAAAATACTTTCAGCCAAAGGTAAAAACACCCATACTTGAATTACGTTTAAACATTTATTTATTTATTTGTTATTTATTTATTATTAAATTTGTATGCCGCCCGTTTCCCCCCAACAGGTGACTCTTGTATTTATTACAATACTCATATGGTATGGTATGGTAGTAAGAATGTCTGACTAGGACCCAGGAGATCAGATTCAAATGCCCACTTGGTCATAAAGGTTGTAGATGGGCTTGAGCCACGCAATACTATTGTTAAGATAAAATGAATGGGGAGCAGGAAGCAGTGTGTACCACTTTAAACTTGTTGAAGGAAGAAAAAAGGATAAAGTATTATAAATATTCTGTGATCAGAAAATAAGATTTTTGAGGCAGATGTACTCATGAAAATTTGGTTAGAGGTGCAGATCAAGCACGTCCTTGCAATATTTTTTTGACTCAAGTGAGAAGGTCATTTTATTGTCCAAAACTACCATATTTTTCCGACAATAAAACGCCCCCATGTACAAGACATCCCCCACTTTTCTAGCCCAAAATTTAAAAATCAGTATTTTAAAGATAGTGCAGAACACATT